AAACACGGCGGCGCCGGGTAGCGGGCGTACGGTGCGGCGAAACGTATCTTGCGAGATGCGCCGCAAAAGCTCACTTCATTTCTGCTCTGGCCGCATCAACGTTTTCCCAGCGGCAGCAATGGATGGGGGGGACACTGGTGGGTGTGGGAACTTTTTTTCTTACCGAGTGCCGCTTTTCAAATGAAATATTCATGCGGCTTTACGTTAGTTGACGCCAAACCTTGGTCGCGCGAGGACCCTACGCGTTGGCTCTGCGCTCGGAGCTAACTTGAAAGATCGGTCAATGAACTTGCACAGAGTTGCCAGGTCAAAAACATTCTCTTCGAGCACCCTGTTCAACGTGGCTAAGATGCGTGCACAGGCGGATTAATATCGTTTGGGGGCTATTTCAGAGCGATTTGGCCTCGTGGGGTCATGTTTAGTTGAAGTCGCGAACTGTAGCTTGCCCGTGGCTCCGTATGTCTGGTCGAGAACGTCCATCTACCACTATAACCGTCGCTACCGCGACGTTTTTGCATTTTGCGGGATCCTGTTTTAAAAAACCGTATATATTCGACAGCTCTTGAAAAGCACTGTCGAATGCATGTTTAAAAACGGCATGATTTTTTAATTTGCCTTGGTTTACTTTTGAAGGTTTGAGTTTAATAATGCATGCGTTTTTACGACCTATATTTTTACGGAAGGGAATTTTTTTAAAATGTTAGTGGCATGCGCTGCCTGTATGCATTTGTCACTTTCCATGATAGAGTGAGACGGCTTGGCGCAATTTTTTCGCCCTCGTGAAATTGGCCAATAATTCACCCCCCCCCCCCCCGCCAGCGATTCAATGAACCGTCACGATTCGGGATCGCACTTTGATTTAAAAATCAAGTCTGGTGGGTTTTTTTTTTTCTTCTAAAAACGTGTTATTGGCATTCGGTTGTGCTATCTGCACTGTTGTGGTGCCGTGAGATAAGAGTTGTCCATTCGGGACCGGTCACAGGGTAGTGTTCTGTTTGTCAAACAACTGCAGAAGAGATTTTTCTGCTGGACTTAATCATTCAAGTGGCCTTGTTATCCTTTACACAGCGGTGCGGGGGGGGGGCGGGCACTTTCCCACAAGCTCTGCTATGACAAGAGTTCATCACGTGACTGTGGATTCCTTAATGTCTTTTTTAATGTATCAAAGCTGATATTTTACCAAATCAAGTGCACAACTAAATGTTGTTTTCGGCGGTCATTTGCTGACCGGGATGAGACCGATCAGCGCGCTACACTTGAACTATAAACTCTCAGTTTTTTCTTTTCACCATAGTGGCGAATGAAGCGATCTCCAGTGGCTTATATGGGTCTTGAGAACCCATTACGTGGAACGCCTTCCGAATCTTTTCTGCCGTGGCGCACGTATAGTGAGCTTCGTAAATCGACATTGTTCGATGGTCCCGCGCGTCATTATACTCCTTCGTGAAAGCGCGCGCAACAAGTGCGGTCACATCTTCACCAGGCTCTGGCTTATGCCACCAGACACACTCCCATCCTCCTTGTTAGACACCCGTAGGGTCAAGACGATAACATTTTGCCCATAGCATGCAAACTCGGGGGGTTTGGGGGGGGGTTATATACAGAGCGGGGTCAAAGGGGGGGGGGCCCATTCAGTCACCAAATGTGGTCTTAGGTGGCCCGCCGTTGTCATAATTAGCGCCACATTTACTGGGCCATCCCAATAAACATTTATGTTTCTCGTGGCCGCTTCCTCGAGCAGCAGCGCGGTTTTATAGCCGCACCGACACCTCGGGGCCTCCCCTGGACTCTAGTAAATGGTCTCCTTCGAAGGGCTGGGCCCAGCCCGCCAGCCAGCCGCAACATCGGAATGTGTCTGGTTGATAAGGTGTCTCCTGTTGCTCTCAAGGCATCGGCCGCCGTCCGTCCCCCTGATTGTTCAACGCCTGGCCCCCTTCATTGTTAAACGCCTGGCCGGCCGTGGCAGGAAGTGCCTTGGGGGTTGGGGAGGGGACTGAGAAAGTAAGTAAAAAAAAAATGGGATAGAAGATTATTCCACGAGGCTTTTTTAAAAGTGTTTCATACACTGCAGTTTGCTTTCAACGTGTCACTGTTCTTGCTGCAGCAGTACCCGGGACTCTTTGCGATAAAAAAATGTGGGAGAAGGCTTTAGGTAAACACCGACACTTTGATATATTTCACACTTCCCCTTGGCTTAGTCTAAGAATTCATCGTTGCATATCTTAGTTTGGCAGCTAGATTGGCCATTACGTTGATGAAGGTTGACACCACTTCAGTGCAGTTCCAATGTGTGTGTTTTATGTATTGTTTTTCTGTTGTCCCTATGTAATGTCCATGTTTTCTAAATCTTCTGCTGGATGAATTCCTCTTGCACGCCTTGTCGGTGTTGTGGGTTGCTTGACCATACTTCACCACGCTGGTCAGTTGCCGTGTTTGGTGAAGTCAGGATGGGGAGACTCGGACCAATTCGGATATCACTCGTTACTGATGTTAGCCAGGTTCGGGAATCGAACCTAGGTCTCGGGGTTCATAGCGAAGTGTGTTACTAACCATCGCACCGCCGCTCCACCCTTTGACTTCTATGCACAGTGCGGTAGTTGAATATTGACGGTGATAATCGTATACAGTAATACGTTTAAATTTCGATTTAAAGCTTTCGTGACTGCAGGGATTCATCTTCTTGGTTCTTTCGGTAAAGTCACGTAGAATGGAAATAATAAAATGATAAAAATAAAACATAATAAAATAATTCTCACGACGTTTCGGCCACAACGCAAGCAGCCGTCCTCAGGTGGAGAACAGGTCTGTCGAGAAGACAGAGTTGTGACAGTAATAAGTTGTGAACATGTTCCTTTTAAAGAATGTTATTCACGTGAATTCAGCGAAGAAGCTGGCTCAGCTATGGCCAAATCCTGGAACGTGCCCACAGGCGCAGAAAAATCATAACAAATCATGTATTATGAGCAGACAATTAAAACTTTAGGGTGGCTTTGGCATGGTGGTATTGGAAAGAAAGCACACGCTGTATAGAAAGAAAAACGAAATGCCCCCCTGGCTCATTTGCTCTTAGCCCCCAAACCACAATCATAATAATAACGTGTAGCATTTGCAGTTTTGTAAAAAAGCATGTCGAATTTGTAAGGATCGCGTAGAGTCTCTTTGCGTGCTTTTTAGTACAAATTGTCGAAAAATATAGCCAGAATTATTCTTTCAGACCGGTTTGCTCCTTCCAGGGACACTTTCCGGAGATGGCTGGTGACGCCACTCGCAGCAGAAGGCGATTTGTGCGTGTCCCTGTGAAATGATTCTGAATATTTTTTGAATTGCAATGTTAGTCATGGTAGTTTGTTCTTTTCGTACCTTTCTACGTCAGCTTGAGCAATTCCTTCCTGTTGTAAGGTGTGTGCCGGTGTGTGTGTGTGTCATTCCCACTAAACATTGTTGTTCAATGAGATTATTTCACCGAATAGGTAACCCCCCCTCGTTTTTCTGAAGCCCCCCATTGTTTGGATTTTTTCCACCCCCGATCATCTCCTCTCCCCACGTCCTTCCCCCGATTCAAGTCCAGACTCAAGACATTTGTCTTCTCTGCTTTTGGCTGACTGTCTTGTTTTCCTCTGTAATGAAGCATCGTTAATCTAACCTTCACCAAACTAGAATCTCAAGTTTTGTTCTGCCCTGCAGTATCATCATGCCCGACTTCCCCTCCCTTCCGTAAAAAAACAAACTATTTTCTGTTCTTCGTTTATATCTGGGCACATTCTTCGTTTTGTACAGCATCCTTGAGATGCGGTCACATGTAAACGTGATAAGCCGCTTCATTGAGCTGTCATTTATGGCCAGATCGTTTCTGAAAAAGAAGCTAGTAGCTCGGGACGATTTAGCTGGTAAAATAAAATAAAAACATTTTTGGTGGTTTGCATATATCTTTCCTAAACTTTGTACTCCTATCGAGTTTTTGTATTGTTTCTTGTTGTACCATTCTGACCCCGTGCTCCGATTTGTGAAAAATATATTTTATAGCTCATCGCATTCCTTCAGTATATATACATATTCTGAAACACTTACAAAAATAATTATTTAAAATTATTATTGCCCTTTTGTTAGTCCGCTCCTGGATAAAGGCCCTCCCCTGTGTCGCTCACGGGAGTCGCTTGACCGCACCACAACGACGCTGCTCAGGGATACGGCTCCTGTGGCCAGGAATCGAACTCGTGTATAGCCAGCTGGTTTGCGGCAGAGTTGCGCTGACCGCCGCTACGCTCCCGTGTCAAGCCGTCTTATTTCACAAATATACAGGGTGATTCATGAATGGATACCCCCCCCCCCCCGCCCATGTCTCACCATCCTCTTTCGGATGGATAAATGTTATTACGAGTGATGGCTCTAATAAGTGTATTGTGATTTGTGGAAGACGTTGCAGAGGCTAGTGCATTATTGCAGAGGGGTATCTACAAATGGATCATAGCTCTGAAGCATTGGCTGGGGGTTGTAGCTGAAAGCTCTTCCCCTCTTCTAACTTCTCGCAGTCGAGGCGTTCGATATAAAAAAATTGTCTGCGGGAGTTGGAGGAGGCTGGGAAAACGCAAATTTGTGCAATTAACTGATGTCCGTCGCGGCCTTTCCTCGTATATATGGGGGGTGGAAACTGAACAGAATGCATGATGGACAAAATCAGATCTTATCGGTACTGTTTACCTTTTCACATTTTGTTTAAAGTTTGTTGTAATATTTACTGTCGTCGTTGTCATCCCACCACTGACCCCCCCCCCCTCCCCTGAACTTTTGTTTGCTGCCACCATCACACCAAGGTCACACTACGGGGCTGACGGACCGCCCGGTACTGTCACACGTGGAGTAATGTCGCTCACTCTCGGTTTTGTGTCCCCCCCCCGACCTTTCCCTCCTTCGTCCACCCCGCTTGTCCCCTCCTTGCTCGCTCTCTCTCCCTTCCTCTCCGCCGCCGCCGCTCGTGATTGCTGCGGTGATGACGGCGACAGGACCGCAAGCTGACCAAGGCGGAGCGGCAGCGCTTCAAGGAGGAGGCCGAGATGCTCAAGGGCCTCCAGCACCCCAACATCGTGCGCTTCTACGACTCGTGGGAGGCGACCGTCAAGGGCAGGAAGTACATCGTGCTCGTCACGGAGCTCATGACGTCCGGCACCCTCAAGACGTGAGTCGCGAACCCAGGCCCGCAGGCCCAACAAGCCCGCCAGCGACGTTAGCCGTCGGCTGTGCAGGCGGTGCAATCGCACCGAGGCCCCCCTACGGGCGGGAGGGGGCACAGGTGGCAAGCCATGAAGAAGAGGGAGGAGAATTGAACTCGTGGGCTCATTTTTATTCCTTGCACCGATGCCCATGCTCTACCCACACTGCCGCTGGTTAGGAGATGGTTTGCTGCTGGAAACTGGTTGGCTAGGTGGTTCGATCTAGAGTTAGGTTCTGCGCTTGCTTGTGGCCGACAGGCAAGTGCGTTACAGAGTAGGGCTACTAATAGTGGCTGGTTGCTAAATGTCAGGGGTAGGCCGAATGCTCAAAGATAGGTGAGTGCATTATGGGTAGGACTTGTACCAGTGGCTGGTTGGCTAGTTACTTGGCATTGGAGGCAGTGCCTAGTGTTTAAGAGTGCAGGTGGCGCGATGGCAGATGGGGTGGGAGGGGGGGGCAGAAATTTGACTGGGGCCCACCACCATTTCATTGTTTGCACGAGGGATCCACTCCAACCATGCTGCTGCTGTGGGCACTGCCTGGCCCTCTCCTTTACGCCCAATCAAATACAGAGATAATCTCTCTTTGTAGCCTCACGGACTTTCGTGGTAAATCTTTAGTTGGCGAGTGCCCCGTTGAGACCATTGCTTTTGCCGGCGTTGCGTCAGTCTAACCAATGCTGATGTTTTTACACCACCGCATTCAGGTTGTTATTTAAGGCTGAGTCAACCAAGGGGGGGTGGGCTGGGGGTGGGGGACGCCTTGAACAGGTTCAGATACCACATTCCGCTGACCCTAGTGCGGGCGTGCGGTGTGGTAATCGCACACGTTTGGCAATTGCACCGTAGTTTAGTAACCACCGCCATCGCTGTCCCCCCCCCCCCGCCGCCCCCCCAACGCTCGCACGCATGCACGTGGTTGAAGGAGTGTGTGCGCGCATGCGCAGCTATTTTCCTTCACGCTCGCCTGCGACAGAAACACGCTGTCGGGACGAAAAAAAATGGCAAGAAAAGTACTCTTGCGCAAGGGGCTAATTCATTTCGTTGAAATGTACGCTCGCCAGGGACTTTGCGTTCTCTCGCTCTTTATTTATTTACCATCAGGAATGACCCACTGAGCTGTTTCGCTCGTGTTGAGAAGCGACGTGGCTGTCGCCAATGATAGCTCAACGAAGTGGCTTATCGCTTGGAAACTTATAGCAGGTAAATTGCTCAACGCGTGATGTTGATTATAAATATTCTTAGGTTTTTTCGGTAAAGTCACGTAGGACTTTACCGAAAAAACCTAAGAATATGAATCCTTGCAGTCACGAAAGCTTCAAATCTAGAATTGATTATAAATCTCGAGGGAAAATCCACGCAACCACGGGGTGGATGGTAAGAGAGAGACCCACAAACTCTAAATATATAAAGAGAGAGACCCACAAACTCTAAATATATAGGCGTCGGGCTCGGGATCGAACCCATGACCTCCTGTGTATCAGGCGAGATAGTTAACATCTCACCACCATGGCGCTCTGGGAATCGTGGCATCACATGGAGCGTCGTGCGGAATGTGCTTCTGCGTACTTTATGCGTACTTTTGCACGCGGCATTCAAAGCTTTGGTGTGCTCGAACAATTGTGCTTGCACGTATGAAGTGACCCGCGATTTGCAATAGCAGTCTCAACAGTGTTATTTGTGGTATTTTACACTGCCCGTGCCATGTGAAGAATGTATCCAGGAGTGGCAGTTGTTGTATTCTGGGTAAAGGTGCAGCCCTGCAATCGCTTGCTTATTCCACTGCTGGGAGAAAGGCCACTGCTACTGAAAATGAGCTCACGGGATCCCCTCCCAGAGAGTATTGGGCCTGCTCTTCCGCGCTGGCCAGGCGTCTCGTTTGTCGAATTGAAACAAGCGATGCTTTTGGTGGACTTGTAGCAATATGCCAGTATCAAGGCATTGTGACCATTCCGAAGCGTATATGGATGCGTTAGCACGGCACGCAGAGACGTTGAAACAATATCTGAATATTCCACTGGACGTTGTATTTGAAGTGAAATTTTGTTTTTAGTTTAAAAAGAAAATGTTAAGTTTCCACTCGGGGGGGGGGAAGAAAAAAAACGTAAGAAATTTCAGTACTTTGTGTCATTGGCTGGCACAGAATTGACAATCGTATTGAAGTTTATTCAACTGCAAAAGCAATGGGATGTTTCCCCGACTGGAATGGTATACCTGTACCAATTTGGCCGTATCTCCATAATAATAAGAATCGGAAAATGTATTTATACTGGAGGAATCCGATGAGGTATTAAGTTATTTTTCACGGGTGTCCATTAGGGGTGGGTAAGAATAAGAAGCTAAAATGAATGTATCTGTGTCCAGAGAACTCCTAGGCTGCTCCACCAATTTAGACGAATTTCAAAAATGCAGTCCTTTGAAAGCTTATTAAAATGCAATTCATGCAGACGAGGTTGAAACTTAATATTTTCACTTCACGATACCCAGTTATTTGGCTCATTGATCCACTCTACCATTTGCAATAACCCGGGGTGTAATTTGGCCCCGATTCAAAATTGTACAACAGATAGCCGGGTTCCTCATCGAACACGTGCATTGGTTGCCCAATGGGGTGTGTTGCCTGTGCCACAGCAAACACAGTGGCATGTGACCACGTGCGCAGAACGGACCGACCACCAGCGCTGTACAAAATCATTTGAGTGCAAAAGTCTTAAGGCGTGTAGGGAAACCAATTGGTGGGCAGTTAATTTAAAAGTGAAACATGCCCTGCGAGTGAACCCGGGCTGTTGTTGCATTGTACAACAGGGGTGGCTGGGCAAAATTCATAAACAATATGTATAGAATATATAGTACAGAATATAGACTTAAACTGCAGGAGGAATCCGATGATCTATGGAAGCTCTTTTTCCGCAGATGTCCAATCGGTGTGGGTCAGAAAGTTAACAACTACAGGCAGTACAAAAACACGATGGGAGAGGTTAGCAAATCGCAACATTTGTTTTTATTTTACCAGGTCAAGCCCACCGAGCTATCTGTCTCCTTTTCAGAAGCGACCTGGCCACAAATGATAGCTGGACGGGAGGCATTTCTATTTCACTGGTTATTTGAACGTTTTGTGGTTATTGTCACGGTTTGACATTGACAGAGTTCGATAGACGTGCAGGAAAAGCCATTCCAACTAACGATTTGGATTTTTCCCACTCTTGGGTACCCCCCCCCCCCCCACTCATCAGGGTTTACGGCTGTGCAATGGTTGGCACACTGGACTTGCAATCCAAAGGTCGCCAGTTCAATTCAGTCGCCCGACAGTGGTGGTTAAAACAATGGCGGTTAAAACAATGGCGAGAGTTTCTGTAATCCTGGGTGCGTATTGTCGCACCCGCAGTTGGTGTGGGGCGGAAAAGTGTGGCACCCCCCCCCCCCCGTCACACCTTTCTGAGACGTTCAACCAACATGGAAGACGTCGGCTCGCCTGAGCTTCCCCCTTATGGAAGCCAGCTCTGCCAGCAATCGCACAAACGTTCACGGCGTTTCCCGTCTTTCCGTAGCAGTTTGTTGGATGCTGGCTGGCTGGCTGTGGCTGTATTCACATTTCGACATCTGTTGGGGGGGGGGGGGGGGTGGAGGGGGCACATTGCTAACCCCGACCTCGCGCCCCCAAGTCTACGACCCGGAGCAAGTCGGTTGAGTTTTGGCGCTGCAAAGTGTTGAGCTGCGAACAACTGTTGATGTTTAAATACGGCTCACGCGCCACCGTTGCCCTGAAGCAGGCATTCCGACACCGTGGGGACCCGTCCGTCGTTACTCCCGTCAACCCTGTATAGTTGGAGTTTTCATGATCTTCCCGTGGTCGTGTGGATTTCTCTCCGGGTCCTCCGGTTTTCCCCTCCACATTTAGAAAACGTCACGCGTTTTTTGAGTATTTGGCTGCTGTAAATTTCCGCATCGTAAGCCACTTCGTTGAGCTATCATCTGTGGCCAGGTCGCTTCTGAAAAAAAGTGGTGTAGCTCAGAGAAAGGGGGCCTTTCCTGGTCAAATAAAAAATTGTCTAGTTTAGTTTGTTTCCGTGCACTTTACTTATTTATTCCTCCATCCCAGTATGAGACTGGCCCCTGTTGCTCAGTTTCACTCCCTGGTGAATTGGCCGTAGGTTTTTTCGTAGTTCAGCGCCTGTTAAATAATAAAATCGCGCTAATTTAAGGCCTCTTAAATTAGCGCTCAGATGCTGGAGGGAAAGCGTTCTGACTCTGTTGGTCGTGGGGTTTCGTTTGAGCATCTTTCACCGTGTCGTTCACAGCGGGTCGGCGAAGGGAATCGGTCTCAGTTTGCCGGGTTCACAGTGCAGTGCTCTAACCACTGCACCACTGTTCCCAATACCCCCAACAACCCCCTCCCATCCACCCTCCAGAGTCTTCGAACGTCACAACATTGGTATTCTGGACACTGTAGAGAGCTGGAAAGTATGCATTTTTTTTACATTTTCGTTTAAAGGGCGACTTGAGAGCGCTTTCTAAAGGGCAAATGCTCATGCTTTATGCAAGCAATTTTTGAATATATTTTTTTTATCTTGTGATGTTTGACCTACTTCATCAGCACACCAGTGAGAGCCAATTGAAATAATCTATTTTCTAAAGAAGGTGAATAGGTGTCTGTAATCCAAGTGCTGGTAAAAAAAAAAAGGACCTATTTATTTGCGTGGGTAATTATCAAGCAGGGGATTTGGGCGGTCAGACCAGTGTTGCTGTGTCGTGGGGTCTTCATTCACACATTCGCTCCGCAAGCAGGACCCGCGGGTGCCCGGGCCGTAATCCTTGCTGCGTCATTATTATTGGGCAGCTGGCGCTAATTGATGTGACGGACTTTGCGAAAAATGACGCGATATTTCTGGCAGTCGGTTAGACCACCCCGCAGTCCCCCGATTTGACGTCGTCAATTTCCATTTGACCCCGTGTGGAATGACTGCTT